ACGCGTTTCGCCGTTGGTTAAGCGGCTCATCAGGCATAATGTGTTTTATTTACTCCAAATGTTTTGCCTTCGAAGGTCGAGTAAGTGATCGTAAAATGTATATATCTTCCCGTGCAAATCCTTTTTCGTACCCTTTTTAATCAAATTTCTCCACAACTTATGAACCGAACAAAATACCTGTAGAACAAAATAATCTTCATTCGTTATAAAAATTGCAAACTTTTTTAACAGAAACTCCCGATTCTGAAGCACTCTTGTGGTTTATTACGTGTTCTTATACAAAATTGGAAAATACGGAAGTGGTCCATTTAGATGGAAGCATAAAATTAAATGCACTTCTTATGTTACGAGAAATAATATCTGTCGTCGAGTTCCTAAGTTACGGGATTTGAAACTCAACACACCGAAACAAAAAGTGGTTTCGGCACATTAAAACATGGATACGACTCAATAAAGGTCAATGGAGTGTCTATTTGGTTCTGTAGCTTTTGTGGAAAAGTGTCTGCGGATCGGGCTTTGTTAAGTGGAAACGCACTTACAAACGCCTTAACGAATCGCCATATTTTTATTGCAGTCGGATTGCTGTTCTATATTCGGATGTCGTGACAAACGAATTGGATAGAAGAAATTCTTAGAGCGAAAGAGAGACTATGTACCACTAACACCAGAATAAATAACAACGCATGCACGCATATGTTGCATTGCAACAATTATTTTATTAAGTCCATTTTATGGATTCACCCACATTCAACAACACACTTAACAGATCAGAGGACCATTGTGGAGGATTTCCTTTTCTGTGGCAGACGTACATCGATGCCATGTGTGGAGGAGAGTGTTGGCGTTGTTGTTCGTAGTCTGTCGTGGATAGATTTAAACTTCACACTTTTAGTCCTGTTAATGAGATGAGAGTTCCTTTTTATTGTTTCAGCAATTAGTTACGAGCGTATGAGCCGGGATCTTCGGCAACGCTTAGTACATTTGTGATAAAAGTGATCATCACATTCGGCAGCATATGCTTGCCGAATACATAGTCTACTCCCTGGCTTTGGCACATGATCTGTCAATTGTTCCTGTGCGGTGATCATTCAGTCATTGTGCAACCATTTACAAGAGATTAGCATCGCTATGTCCAGCTGTTGGCTGCTGCCGTTTGGGTGCAGCATCAGTGGCAGCATTTACTGTTGCAAAACAAATCTTGGCCTCTGTTTTTCGCTCTTCATTCTTATCTGTGTTCCCGAATTTGTTGCGGTGTTGGGCGGCACGGTGCGTTTCTCTTTGTAAATACATAACACACAATTGCTCATCTATCTCTTTTATTGGTTGTTACTCTTCCCAATTTGATTTCGTTACGGAGTTTAAATATAATCAGTGTCATTTTCAATGTTTGACATATTTAACACGCATTCACACACACACACACATAGACATCTGCAGAAGCATTTGTTGGTATGATCCTAGTCTAGTTTGAACCAGAATATAGCAGGGAACTAAAGTCTCCGTCTCGTTGTAAGTCGTTGTCATTGATCAACATAGCGAACACAAATACACCTCGGAAATGTGTCAATGAAATGTCACGCTTATTTTGAATGAAAATAAAGAATTAAGGAGAATGTTTTCCCTCTCACATGACATGTGCCGTCAAAAACTTTGAAACCAGATTCAAAAGACAGACATCTTCTAAGTTGACATTAATCCAACATTTTTACATTTTGTCATTGCTTTGATCTAACATTTTCAGTAGTATGATTAATGATTAATGATTCCATTGAACCTATAGTATTTGAGGAATAATTATCAATAGAACCGCGCAGTCTTCAATTGGTCCCTATTATCTATATAATTTGATCGATGTTTTTCAATTTTGTATGACCGTACCAATATCGACTACATTTCGTCGAAATATCCGCATCCGCAAAACTATCGTTTTTCAATTTTGTATGACCGTGACAGCAAGGAAAGGATCAACAAATTTCAAAGACAGCTCTTCAATAAAAAAAAATATATAGAAAAAACATCACAATTTATCGAAATATAAAAATGCCGTATACATAAAACTAACACATGTTTTTTGTTTTAATTATATTTTTATATCGTATTTCTAATTTGGTAGATGCAGAAACAATAAATGCACCACCATAGTATGGAGGGTATATTAATTTTGTCATTCCGTTTGTAACTCATCGAAATATTCATTTCCGACCCTATAAAGTATATATATATATATATATATTGGGTTCTTATTGGGTACTAAATGTCTCCACAAAAAATTATAAATATAGGTCCACTTTTTCTGGTAGCCCCCATATAACGGTACCTCCTAATTTTCAGTATTTTGGGGGTTATGATCGTATTTTTCCACCGAATTGGCTGTAATTTAGTATTTTGAGTTCTTAATAGGTACCAAATCTCTCCACAAAAAATATAAATATATGTCAATTTTCCCGGATAGCTCCCATATAAGGGTACCCCCAATTTTCGGTATTTTGGGGTTCATGAGCGCATTTTTCAATCGAATTTCCAGCAATTTGATATTTTATAGTTGTATATGGTAACAAATCTCCCCACCAAAAAGTATTAATATTCGCTCCCTTTTTGGGTAGTCCCATATAACTCCATTTTTTATATTAAAATAGTTATCTAATTTGTTTCGTGTTTTGGGTTTGGTTCTAAGACTCTGTTGTAATCTTTTCACCTGCGGAGGATATCGAGATAAAAAAAAAACTAGAACGTAAGGTTCGATAATGAACTATATATGAACTATAACCCGCATTTAGACCCTGTGTGGGAGGTGCCAAAGTGTTTACATTAGCCATAAGGCTGAGAGTATAATTGTATTATGCTTTACATAATCGGTTTGTAGAAATGTCGGTATAGGTCCACTTTTTGGTATTTTCCCTACATTTTCATTTCAAGTACCTATCAGTATATATATATATGGTGGAGGGTATCCATAGTTCCAAAGTTAAAGCATAATACAATTATACCCTCAGCCTTATGGCTAATGTAAACACTTTGGTATCCAAAGGTATCCAAAGCCGATATGGATACCCTCCACCATATATATACTGATAGGTACTTGAAATGAAAATGTAGGGAAAATACCAAAAAGTGGACCTATATCGACATTTCTACAAACCGATTATGTAAAGCATAATACAATTATACCCTCAGCCTTATGGCTAATGTAAACACTTTGGTACCTCCCAACGCTTTTTCACTTGTTTATTTTCGTACTACATCAATGATTTTTTAGTATATATAGGGAAAAATGTCCTGAATCCGAATCCGTTCGCGATCAAATTTTTGGTTGATGTGCGCAAAAGTTAAGTAAGTTTCAATTTTGGACATACAAAATCTTAAAATTACGGTGTTTATTAAATTGCCCAATGGCGTTGATATATGGGTTCCTTCGTGAAATATGAATTTGGAAAAAAGTTATGAAAACACTCATATAAAATTTTTCGGCGAAATTTAGCATAAATTGAAGAATAACTGTTTTAGCTGAATTTCGCCGAAAAATTTACATATTTGAAAAAATGGATTATAGCAAGACCCTACAAATAGGAATAAATCTTAAAATAAAACTACATTATGAAATATACATTTTAAATTGCGTCTAAGTCGCGTAATCCTCAAAACCATTTGATGCGCATGCGGTTTCCAGGAAATACTGAAGGTTATATTCCAATCCATGTATATTTTGTGAAATTTCATTTGACGGCTAAGATTTTTACACGTTGCATTAACGTTACACGTTGTCTTTAACGCGCATCGATTCCTGTGTGCACACAAACCAAATACATCAATCTATACCTATTTCAATGCTGCCCCTTAGGAACCATGGATGACGTAGCTCACTATTTTTGAGATCAGCTGTGTTAAAAATGGGCAATAATGCCCATAGAAAATCGATAATTTGTAGGTTTGAGTCGGACCGAATACCTGAACTAAGTGTAGTCACAACATGTGGAACTATGAGAACCGAAAACAGGAATTTTACTTCGCCTTCCAGGTCACAATACCATCCGACAGGCGGTGGTTCAAGCTGTAAAGAAGTGACTAGATCGGGTCAGTTTAAACTCTGGTCAGGATACAATAAATATAATGGCATATAGTTAACAAGCCATAAAACCAATAACCTCCAAAATAGTTAGATCCAAAACCATATATTTAGAAACAATATTTAGAAGAATAGTCGTTTTCGACAATATAGACTATATTTAGAAATGTCCGTCCGTCTGTTTGGCTAGACTGCACGATAACTTTTGAAGGGAGTCACAAATTATATTTAAAATTGCATGGTAATATTTTACAAAACAGACGTCAATAGTCCACATTTTGAAAACTTGAAAATACCATATGAAGCGAATTGAGTAATCGATTTGATTCATACTTTGTGCATTGTAATATTTTCACGTCGCTTACATCATATCGAAGCATATTTTTAGGCGATATGTCAACTATTTTGAATAGCGCATCACTGAATTCATTCTAGTAAAGACACAAACCAAACACAATTGTGAATGGTTTTGTACATGGTTTCTGGCAAGAATTGCGAGATTTGAGAATATTATTACTAGCTGCTTAAAAAATAAAATAATCTGCATAAGCCATCAAGGGTGACCCCAGGTTTACATTGGCTGCAAATTGTCTTTCTATGTGTTACAAGTGTCATACTTTCGCCACTGTTCTTATAACACAACAACCTGGGACACTACCAACACTACTGAAGTTTTTTTTTTCATATTTTCAGGTTGTTCACAATTCTTTGCGAATTTTGGTGATGCGACCCCAAATAGCAGCCCTTCTCCTAAACAAGTAAATGTGAAACATGCCAAAAAGACCAATATATGTAGGAGTGTGTATTATAGAGCCGCAAACATATGTATCTATTTTCAAATTGGCACTACTGCTGCATATACATTTGTAGGTATTTTTAATTGTAACTATTTTGAAGTATTTGATTAGGGAATTTTTTTAACAATATAATTTGCTTTTCACGGCAAGTCCACATTGGTCCTCTCGTCATCGTTTATTTGGATTCTGATATTAGCGCGGACCATCACTTCCGGATCGCAACCGTTTTCGTGGAGTGGTATCTCTGATTTTGTGTTGTCGGTTGCTTTGGCACTTCCACGTCTAGTTGTCTTCGACTTGATGCGGTTGTTTAACATGTCGGATTTCAATGTTGGCGTGGGTTGGACCAATATAGTGGAAGTGGTACTATTGCGACGACTAATATTCTGGGAAGGTGTGTCACTGCCGCCACAGGCTCCTTCCGTATCAGTAACTTTGTCACTTTCCTGCGGTCGCAGGAAATAACGGCCTTCGGCTGAGCGAGATCTTCGTGTTCTGACGGAGTCGTAGCGCACCATTAACAGATTCTGAAATGAATGGAGGGAATGTAGTTATAGAGGTGCATTCTTCGATGGAATGAAATGCATTTAATATTCACCTCTTGCATTTCTGTTCTTTGGCTAGACTTACGGGTCTTCCTCAAACCATGCTGCTCTTCCAGCTTGTTGGCCATGGAATACATCCAATCTTTGGCTTGAGGAAACCCTATTGAAGACTGTGATCTTTCCGGCAGATCTGGATTTAATAGAGAATCCCTTCGTCCTGAGCTGCTGCCAGCCTCTAAAACGAATATCCTGGGGAAATCTATAACAAAATCGCGACTGCGAATTAAATCTGCCAAGGCACCGCTTTGTCTTTGGCTAGGAGCGTTAGGGTTAGAGTTGCTATTCACGACTGGATCCGGTTCGTATTCCAGAATGCTTTCTTCGCTGCCCAAGAACTAGAGAAATGCGCAAATGATGTTATTATACTCCCATCTATAATCAGATGTACAGGGCAAATTCTCAACTACATCACCGTTGGTGTATACAGCTTACAGAAGCAAGGATCAACTAAATGCATAAAAAGGTGATTTGTAAATACTCGGTTGGGTATAACTACGTCTTGGTTCATGATCTTCACGTTCGCAATTGACGGGGCGAATTTGAAAATAAAAGATGTATATATTTAGTAAGAAATTGTCCTGAGCCACTAACCCGTCAAGGTGTTATGTTGGAACGATATACACAGTGAAAATTTGTTGCTATTGAAGTATTACTGAGCACAGTTTTGTCCAAAGTTACCAATGTAACAACAATTGTAGCCACACACTTCCCCTGCTACCGATTGCTTCTGTGGGCGACTCAAACAAAATAAAAATAAAAGTCATTTCTGTGTTCAATTTTCGTTTTTAAAACATTTAATTTCGACATTTAATTTGGAGCTTTTCCCTTAGCATTAATGCTCTCGTTATAATTCTTGCTTGTCTGTTTGTTTGTAATACTATGCGTTATAGAAAAGTTGTTAACCAATGTTCGAATTATCCTAATATTATGTTAGTTTAGAGTATATATACAGGGTATTGTTTTCATATGTGTGAGTGTTTTTTTTTATAGAAAATGTTTTCTGTTAGATATCGGGGTCGGTTTTTAATTTGACTAGCATTAGTCACTGCTTGCATTTGCACAAAGTCTACACAATGTCATAAGTGTCCCTAACTCGAACAAAACTAATTTCCTTAGGTGGGCGGGAGAGGGATGTTGGTCTTGGGTTAGATTATCTAAAAATTACGTAAAACTATAAAACTTATGAGTAACGTTTCATGTCAAGTCTTAGAACTCTTAAGTATTCATTTTTGGGATCAGTTTAAGCACTTAAACTACAAAAAGAAAGATAAGCAATTAAATTAAGAACGGCTATTTACAAAAACGTATTGCAATGAAATGAGGCAACTACAAATGTAATTGAAAAACACGTATGGTTTCCGGCACTGACATGGGCTCCGAGACCCTTGTTTCAACGCTGTGCTGTTTCACAGTCGGGCCAGTTAGACATCGGTCACTTGGTGACTAGCTGTGCTCACTTGAATGTGCGATCTGTGGTCGACTTCATCGGCTTCTGGTATCCTGGCATTCGTACCTTGTCGGTGGTAGTAGGATGGATCGTACTCCTGACTGCTGTGTGGTTCTAACGATGCCGTTGTCTGGGTCTCTACACTGGCTTGCGTGACGCTAAATCTAGTGGGCACTAAATCTACTGATGGTGGTAGAGTGGGAGGTGGGAATGTTGTCGCGGGTGATAGCGACGACGCCAGCGAGGGTGATTCTGATGGGGATGGAGCGTGATGTTGGTGCGTTGAATGATGCTGTGCGGATGGCTGCGGTAGGCTGTTGCTAGTTTGGCGGGGTACTATGCCTACAACTACAACCGGCACTTCGGTGTCGTCTAGGGGAGCGGCATTGTTAGCTGGCATGTGTTGTGTCGAGGGCGTAGTATGAATTTCATCACCCACCACATAGCCATAGAATTTAAGTACATCCAGTTTGCACATGGGACAAGTGCGGTGTTCTATTAGCCACGGGTCAATGCAGTTTTTATGGAATTCATGCCTGGAAAACAAAAGCGGGAACAAAATTAGGACGATGTTTGAAAGATTGAACGACATTTAGCATCATACTTGCATGGCAATACTCGTATGAGATCCGATGGTTTGTATGCCTCAATGCATATGGCGCAGCAGTCAGACTCGGCATCCTTTTCATCTGTACTTTTGCCAGTCTTTGTGGGTATTTTCATAATGGCCTTCTTGGTGACGGAGCAAAGGTGGCGCTGCAGAACAAGAACAATCAGTCGACATTTCACTTTTAGAATACTTATTGCACAAAAAAACACTTACGGACTGTTGATCTTTTGACTGCATGTATCTGAATTTTTGTATATAATAAAATATTAGCCAGACCAGCGAAATTACCATTAGAATAATAAAGGAGATCGCCACAAACAGGACAGATGTTCTAAAAATTGAAATAATTGTTAAAACCACAATAATTGTAAACAATAATTGGAAAAATGGACGTGATAACAGCAGCACAGCCAATATTAGCATTTAGAACTCATGTAGTGAAGTCTGTATTTTTGCAGTTACCGATTTTCAATTTTTTGCTACCAATAACTGAAGATGTTTGCCAACCTTCATATTTTGCCTCATGCATTCTTAATAGGTGAATATGTGGTAGTTTAAATAATAAATGGCTCTTCAGGCGGTCACATTGTTCAGAGAAAGAACTTTTACATACCTAGCAGAAAAAGGCAACACAAGTTAAGAATTGAAGGACTGTGCAATCCTTAATGCGAAACGGGTAAAGCATTGGTATTTTGTAGGAAATATTGTGTTTTATTTTCCGCCTCTGTCCACTTATCGCCATTGTCGACAGTTTCTGTTTGCAAATAAACGTTGCGATTCGTCGACTTCAGCAGTGTGCACATGAACATATATTTCTGCACATCACTGTACTATATTCTTAGCAAGTGATGACAACAGCGGCACAGAACTGCAACATCTGTCAGGTCTGTTGGTGATGGTCGTCGTATTCGACTTTCATTGCGAGTTCAATGTCCTGTGACGCGTTATCTTTGTGTTTTGAATTGCTATCATCCCAAATAGTACATTCAACCAATATGGGTTGTTGTGCTTTTTTGTAAATACAATGTCAAGACGAATCTGTATGTACGCACAGCCTTCGGTAAGACATAAGCATGCTTTCACGAGAACTCGACGAATATTGACCACTCACCTGTTCAGACTGTTTATGGGTCTCATTCCACTCCTGCCCTCAATAATATGCGCGGTCACGTCTACGCCCTCATCCAGTCTCATGGCCATATTTTGGCCAATGTCTTGATAGGTTATCACAGCAGTTATATTACCTGAAATATCAGCAATTGAGACATTGGTCATTGTGAAATGCGCAGTTCGAAAAATACCGCGCGCACCGATACTACACGGCAATATACTCACGGGACTTGTCCTTGATTTGCATTTTCTCCAAGTTCATCACAGTCTTGTCATTGTAAATTATGATCCCCAATGCTTTCTTGTTGTAGACATTTTTGACTTTCTCTTCGAAGGTGCAGCGACCTCGGCGGACTAAAGCAATCCACGAAATGCCCTCGGCCGGCGTTGGCTGGCCATTAGTGCCCAGAATATTGCTGGAACACGCCGTGTCGTCTTTAACGTCCTCGGCATCGCTTATGTGCACCAACTTGCCTTGTACATTGAAAATCTTGCCCTCCCCGTAGCGAGCCTTCTCCTCATTGAAATTGATGTATTGTACCTCTTGATTTTCTACGTAGCTATAGTTGAGGAAGGCGTAGGTGTAAATGTCTACCGCTATGCGCTCTTCGGCAGCCATTGTTTGGGTGCTGTTCACAGATCGGAAATAACGTTCCAAATCTTGGTTCGCTATCGACATGGCCGACACCAGTTGGGTTCTTAGTGCTGTGTAGGATGACCGCATATCGCCCTGCAAGGACAGACATACCAGTAAAAGCAGCACTTCCCGTGTATCCATGTCTGGTAAAATGCTTTTCGATGTTCTTAATGATTGTTCTAGACTGCTCTCAAAAATTTGATTGCTTCAGAGTGGTGTATAAGCAACGACTTGTTGCTGTTTCCTAGGCAATGATAAGCGTTTGAATCATCTGTTACTTTCTTCTGGGTATGTCGGTGATCGTTAGTCTTGTCATGAGGTTCCTTGATCTGCGGGCGATTCACTCGCTCATTCCCGGCCACACAAGGCTTTCCCAGTGTCCGCGTCAACTTTTCGCTGTCAATGTCGCCAGTATTCTAAAAAAAAAACTGAAAGTAATAAACACATTTTAATTCGCTGCGAATCAACTCTCTTTCGGCTTCTTATCAATAAGCGTATCGTATTTGTATAATGTAAGAAGTGAGCTAGTCATCGCCCGACGCCTAATCTATTGAATTTGTATATTTTTGGGCGAAATGTCGGCCCATTGTTTTATTCTTCTCCACATCTACACGGTTGATAAAAATTCAATTAAAGAGCAATCAGAAACAGTTAATGATTTGATGGACAGGGAAAGGGAGGGAATGAGTCTTTCGCCAGTAAACACAATTTCAAAACGACGGTCGAACTGCGAATATTCACACCTGAATCGAAATTAAACCATCGGCGACCCATGCCAAAAATGTTGTCTCTTTTGTTTGTAAATATTTCTGGCAAATGTTCAGACTGCATAACACACTGAGTACCGCACCACACCACACTACCCACATTCGTCGGTCTACCGCTCTTCGGCATTGCAATTTGAATAGCGATCGCACAGAGAGTCAGAAATGTCCCACCGCAGATCGTGGTGTTTTGTTGGGAGACGTGGGGTGGGCTGGGACAAAGTGGCTGTATGTGTTCTTGTTTGTGGTCGGAATGTTTAGGTGGGAATATGCGTCTTTTTTTCCATTTGTTTCCCATTCGTTTCTTAATGCGTTTGCCTATAATTTTGCATCTGTCAGCGTTCCAACTGTGTAGAGAATTGAGGCTGCAGAAGAAGGAGCCAACCGACTAGCAAACATCCTAAGTGTCATTGACTAAATGTTTACTTCGGAAATCAGCTAGAACAATGGCCCCTCGAATAAGTTCTGATAATAAAATGCTATTAAAAATTCAAAAGCGTGTACCACCCTCCACACGAATATACGAACTTATGTGGGCAGAAGATACGAAATAAATTAAGAGAAATGAACACGAGCTTAGCTTAATTATTATTTTAGACATGTGTCCATACAATAGAACGATTGAGAATGTGAATTTGAAAACAACATGCATATTTACATACACAACTACACACATAACAAAGGAGAAGAAACAAATTCGTTTTAGGAAACACTTAAAATGCTAGCAGTTCGGAATATTAAATCGAACGCGCTTAACAGCCAGTCTACGAACTGTCTAAAATATAGTTTTTAGCGGACCATATTTTAAAAATAATTTAAAATTTTTGTTTTTTTTTATCAATGGTTAGCAAGCTGTCAGCAAAAGAAACGAAGATAATAACAACAAAACTAACAAAGAACACTACTCATAAATTAAATCAAATAATGAAAAACGTGATTATCGAAAACGTGCTGAGTGGGTGTATGTTGGATAGTATAATAATAATATTAAGGGGCTTTGTTTCGTTCTAATCATGTCATTAAACCTCCTGCACCGATATCATATTCGAATGTTTTCATTGTGGACAGGTGTTTTCTCACAACGCTAACATTGTGTATGTCAGTTGTAGGGCTCAAAGCGGTATCAATTTTAAATACACTGCAATTCCGCAACCGGCAAACCGGATTTGAAACACATTTTTAACTTCCGTTAACTTATTGAATAATCATTAATGTAAACACATATTTGTGTGCAAATATTCGTCCAATTTCCTTTGTCCATCGCAGAGCAGCATAAAACATACATACTCATTTTGGGCGAATGCAGGAAAGCTCTCCCCACAACCCCTCTTAATTTTGTAAACGATTCAAAGTTGTCAGATTTGTTTACTAGAATCTGTACACATTGGACTCCGTTCACCACAAACCAAATGTAGTTCAAAAACGACAAGAACAAACAGTTCAAAGAAATGCAAACGGGGAAAGTTCTATTGTACGAAACGATTGCCAAAACCAGAAAGAATGGATACAACTGCATATCTGAAATGAATAAATTCATCTCTCTCAGTCAGTCCCACCGATTCGCATTGATAAAAAAACCCCTATAAGCAGATGTTAGAACATGTGCAGCAGAACACAACTATTACTTTTACAGATGTGCAGCATTGCATGAAGGTGTGTGGGTGAGCATTTATTTTGGTCTGAAAAGTCTGGCTGAGGTCAAGTAAAGGAATGCACATCTGACCGAAATTGTGATAAAGCACTGTTTACCGTCACATTCGTTTCATTGTTGCTTTCGTTTTCAACTACATCGTTGTCATCATTAAGAGCAGTGTGTCTTGTAAATAGTTGCAATTAAAGAAATATAAAAACTTTTTTGAAATGTAGATAACACACATTTCAAGGTGGTGGTGACGTTGAAATTGTGAAGATGAATATAGTTTTCCAACACCTACAACGAAATTAGTTCCTTTTTTCAACATTTGTGTGTGTGTGTGTTTACATTTTCGAATTAATTTAATTTGCAATTGTGTAATTCAATTATGATTTGAAATCGGCATGGTTGTGCAGTAACACCTCCCTATGGTGGCTGAATGCTACGTCTGATGGAAATGTATCGGTGTTGTTGTTCGAATTCTTCTTACACTTTTGCTGCATTATCCTTTGTTTTGCTTTGCGAAACATACAGACAGTGTATATGATGGCATACATACATTTGTACATGTGCATATATACGAATTTCGACAACAAGTGTAAGGCGAAACTAATTGGCCCAAAGCCAATATTGGTGGGATAAATTTACACAACATTGTGTTTAAGTGTATACACTAGTGTATATGTACTGAGGCTTGTTATTGTGTTCTTAGCGTAAATAAACGTATGCCATTTAAAACGTAATAAGCATTGATTTTTGCCGATATTTTTTTCTGATGAATTGTCGCATTGCTCATTGGTTTGCAACAACATTTCGTTGGAGGTATATAGCGACCTCTGGTTGATATGTAACAGGGAAGTTGCGATAAATAAAAGTACAATGTGCATCCTTAGGACAACGTACGGCAAACTAGGCTGGATGGAGAGGTTATAGAAGTGTCAAAATTGACTTGAAAATCAAATCTTTTTCGTGTAGCGTACCAATTAGTTTGATCGTCTTCGTGTGTTTAATTAGATTTAAGTATTTCGACTGTGCCGTGTGAGAACGTTGAAAATGTCTTTATCGTCGTCAACATCTACAGAAATGTAGATGTTGGATTTGTTGTCATAAATATTTACCCCAAAATCGTTTCTGTGCCGAAATCATTAATTTATGGACACCCGACTTGGACCCCAGCCAAATGCTATGTTTGTGTGTGAATGCAAAATTGTCAGGGCCACATCAAACAATATACCATGATATTGGTTCTGGAGAAGATTTCGATGGTTCACCGTACGGTGAGTGGGTATGAACGAATATGAGTTCTTTTTTTATCGTAAACACAAGTATATATTTAGTCAGCTGGAGAAACTTAGTCGTAGTGGTTTTAGGTTTCACATCGAAGAGACCGAAGACAGCAATGTCTTATAACTGAATTGACTTAAAACTCCATTTGCATTGACCAGGGGGGTGGCAGTTCATGGCAAATTATTCACACATACAAAATTAAAGAAGGAGCAAAATTAAAAATTGATAAGGACATTATCTTGATCAGGATATATTAGGCATAATGCCATGATTTCGAAGAGTTAACTTCGTTCCAGAAATAATCGACCAATTCATTGAAAATGTTTTTTCAATTTTTTATCGCTTGAAATCCGTTTTGTGCACACACAACTAGTAAAGCTTTCAACCTAATTTAAGGGAAAACAACCAGAATGACCATCTTTTTATACATTTTTTACTCGATTAATTTGATTTTGAATGATCAAATTAATTTATTTTTACTCTAATACCGTTAAAGAATTTTTGTAATGAGGTATGGAAATTAGTAAATAAGAAATTAGTAATTTAAGAGAAATTAGTAAATAACAAATTGAATATTAAATTAATTAAAAGAGTATTCATTTGGCTTAATGCATTTTATTTTTTTCTTTTTGAAAAATCACCAGCATTAAGCATTCCCTCCAATATCAAAAACATTTTCACAACAATCAAACAATTCTAAAGGGGATCATATCCGTTGGGCTCGATGTAAACATCTTCTATGGTGATAAACAAATGAAATGAAGCTGCTACAGAAATAACTCACATTAAGTTCGGCTCGAATGGTGGTATATGTAAGAAAATTGTGATACTCGAAATCGGTAAAGAATTTTGCAAGAACATCTTGGCATCCAATCTGTGTCCAATCCAAACCGGAACATGGATTATGATACTCTGTCAATTTTCTGTTTATATAAATATATTTCCGTTTTTAATTTGTTATTAGTTCGAATTGGTTTCGATTCGACGACAGCTTGACTTTTTCTTTAATGCAAGGTGCGTGTCCAGAAACGTGATTAAGCGACAAAATTAACATTTTTATGTGATTTTTTTCTAATTTTGAGACAGCCTGGTCTGTGCGTTGCTTCTGGTTACAATGCGGAAAATATATTCATTACTGCTGAATGTTTGGGTATTGATGTTTTACTCGCAGATATGAAATCGAAAAAAGTCATTTAATCGCTCGTGATCATCGAGCAGACAAACCCCCTATTTATTGTCAGTAATTTGCATACTCGTTCATACTGATTTATGTCTAAATTTACAAATTTCCTGGTTACACCAAATAATTAATATTTTGTATTATGCCGTTGTTTTTACGACATAAACTCCGTGTATGAAATTATTTAACGTCGCACAGATATGACATCCGACCATCTAAATGTATGTGTCGTTTCCATTCTTCTGTCAACTGTGTGCGGTTGGTAACGGCTGAGCAC